CATTAGACATAAGCACTCAAGGGAGGACACTAAATTACACGGCCCCGTCGGACACACCCCAGGGGAAAACCCGAAAATCCATATTTTCCCATCAGGATCACAAATGAGAGAATAAAGCTTACATCATTCTTAACCATTTCTTACATCACTTTTAATACAACATCATAGTATAATATTTATTGTTATAACAACGGAATATAATCATATTATCAGAGTTATGAACAATTTAATTGAACAACGGAATATAAACATGTGAACAGAGTTACAGCAGGAATAAATATCTATTCATGACATGACGAAGCATTGAAATATAAACTATGACAATAGATTATAAAAATTTTATTTATAAAAATATTTAGTGAGAGTTATAAATAAAAACTATGATCACAGCGTAAAGAAAATCCTCTCTGAGCCCACCAAGAGGAATCCACACACAAGAGTCAGCTCTAGCATTCACCTGTCACCTGCAACAGGGGGAAATAAAACCCAGAGGACTCAATTGTACTCAGCAAGACATACTCGACAAAAGGAAGAAAAGACTCCAAGGATATGTAAGACTATCTGGCTTGTGGATTTATTGTATCTGTAGGAGCATTACTAAATGTGCGTCCTTATATTCGATTTTTATTAACAGCCGCATTAGTTCATTAACCAACCATTCTATGTAAGCACATGTGCTACTTTTAAGCAGGTGATAAGCAATCAGATTTACTTTTTCCATCTTTCATCTTTCAGTTCCTACTACGGTGCTAGACCGCAGACAAGCCATACCGGATTTCCTAGCGATACGCGAATTAATGCCCCCAGCTGGGTACCCCGAAAACACACGCCCCGCTTGTACCCCAGGCACAAGTAGGACCAACCCACTACCCTCCTGTCATGGGGTCCAGGTCCCCATCCAAACTAGGACTCCAAGCCCCTGTCCCTGAGTCCCAGACTTAGTGCGGTGCAAGGACCTCCTACCTGAAAACCACCCTGACAGTCAGTCTAGAAAGAGCCGAAACCCAATACAAGAGAGTAACAAGTCTTCCCTGTGCCCATACCCAAGTATGTGCTTAGGATAATAAATCTGTGACTTGCCTAGAGACTTATGCAACGGCCGGTCCTTAACCGACACAAACAGAAAAAACAGTGTAACCAAGCTATGTCCCGTTGGCCGCAGGACACAACCTCTTACACCCATCAATACCCAAACCATATCCCTACCCGGTCACTATTTTCCTTTCCACCATTTATATTTTTCAAGTGATAATAATACAGCAATATATTTCCTATCTCTCGCGAGTGACAGGCAATCACTCGACTTCTACCAGAGTCCTGTAGCATAGCATTCTACATGATCCTGTAATACTAGTAAGACTCATAGGATAAAGATATATATATATATGCAAGTGGGTTTCATTCAACTCCTTAAAACTTAATGCACAAATATAATTTAAAGTACAGAAAAGTAGGGGTTATGCACCAGGGCTTGCCTGGGTAAAATATAAACAAAAGTTAGTATTTGCATCTTTAGATTATGCACCATCAACTGAATAGAAAACCCATTGCATCATCTCCTGAAGAGAATACCATTACACCATCTTTGGATTCCCAATCATCCTTTAATTGATCCGTTGATCCATCATCATACCTATATGATATGCATTGATGTAAATGCATAGATGTAAATAATCAACGACAGCCGAAATGCTTAGAAATCTGATCATGCCTTACAAGCTAATGAGATAGCTCTAACGTTGGTCTACGTATCCCCATCGTTAAGTAAGGCTTGTTCCCGGAACTGTTTTCGTTCTACAAACCCCCAATTGATTTTGACATTTGATTGATTAAATATATATTTACACAATAGGGCTCATTTAGTTACCTTAACAAATAATCCCTAAGGGTATATAAAAATTACAGTGAATACCTAATATTGCTAGGAACCTACTATAAAAATTTTAGATCCAACACTATTACCAATTTATCACAATAATTCCTATAAGTTTATATTTTTATAATATTAAGTATCTCAAATTAATTATATACCTTTCAAGAATACTATCAAACTATGTGAACAAAATATACTAACAAATAGATCATGATTTTAGGAGCCTAACAAAATTGGTTTCACTATTTTTGGACACCTACACAATTTTATATTGATTTTATAAGTTTGCTTTAGCATTAAATTAGGAAATACCTCAAAAATAAAAAAGGGCCGGCGGCAACTAAATTGGCCCAGCAGCCCCAACGCGGCCCGTGGCATGCAGGCAGCGGCCCATGCGCGGGCGGCACAAACTAGCCCAGCGCGCGGATGCGAGCGGCCCAGGCACGGGCGGCGAGCAGGCCGACAGCGCGACCACAACCCAGCACGCGAGAGCAGGCCAGCCAGAGGCCTAGGCGGGGCGCGTGGCCAGCGGCCCAGGTGTGGCGGCCACAGACCGGCCCAGCGCGCGGGCACGAGCGGCCCAGGCGCGGCCCATGCGCGGCTTGCCCAAACCGGCCTGGCGGTTTTTGCAAAAACATCCCCAAGCTTCTGCCTATTTCGTATGCTACCGTTCCTACTATTCATTAGAGTCAAAAGAATTGCACCTAAACCCTTACCTTTGTTCCTATTCTCGTTTTCCCAATTCTAGGAGAGCCCGAACAGGGGATGGCGCACAGGGTGGCTGGCCGGCGGCCAATCCCGGCCGGGGAAGACACGGCGGTGGCGGAGGACCACCCGCGGGGAGCGCGGGACCAACCCGCAACCAAGGGTGCCCACAGCACGGAAGAAGGTGGCCCACAACAGCGGGGCAACGTGCGGTGGCGACGCAGCATGGCGACCGGACACGGCTGCTGTAGGGGAGGCGGTGCGTCGACCGACAGAGACGGTGGGACGACGCGTGGGGCACCGGCGGCGCGCCAACACGACCGAGGCGTACGGAAAGGCAGCGCAGTAGAGCTCGCGCGCGCTCACGAGAGGGGGTGCGGGCCGGGACGGTGGCGTCCATGGCCATGTGGTGGCCACGGCGACGTCGGTGATGCCCGGCCAGGGCTGCGCCAGCGGGAGAGCGTGGCGGGGCTCCGGGCATGGCAGGCTCGGCGAGGAGGCACGCAGAGGCGAGGGGAAAACAGCGGCAGGTGGAGACGCTGGCCCGGCGCGAGTGGATGCGAGCAGCGAAACATCGTCGGCGCTGCTGCATGGGAGAGGTAGCGGCCGTGGGGCTTCGCACATGCGCGAGGGGAAAGGGAAGAGGTGACGGACTACGTGGCCACAACGGCGGTGCTCCAGGGCTCGGGCACGCTCGCAAGGAGGAAAAAAAAGGATGGGCGGCGGTGCAGAGCAAGAGCAGCAACAGCAGCTTGGAGGTGACCGGCCTGCTTGTCTGGTAGAGGGAAAAGTGGAGCAGAGACAGACAAGGACGAGCAGAGGCCTTGATGTTGCTGCAGGGTGAAACGACGGAACGGGTAGCTGGACGGTGGCGCTTAGCGGGGACGGCAGCAACTGAGGCTGAGAAAAGGAAGAGCAAAACAACGTTGTTCAATATAATTTACCAAAATTGACACTTTTAAACATTAGTTAAATTTTAAAATCCGAGAAAATCATTTTGGTAAATCATTTTAGGTCTAAACCTCGGTGCTAAGCAGGCTCGTAACACCAGAGGTGTTATAATTATTGTGAAAAAGCTTAAAAAAACAGTTGTGGTGTCATAAGTGATGCATACCATAGTATAGCTTGACATGAGGCTTAAGGAACAGGCAAAAGGAGGTTAAGGGAATTAGTACCCGGATTTAACAATGGTAGTCAACATCAATAACCATTTAAAGTAGTTAACTCCTAAGAGAACAGGTCAAGTGTGCTGCCAAACACATTGACACTAAGTTATATGTTGTAAAGGAGAAGATCTATAATCATTTTAAAAGCATTAAGCATATTAGTACCGAGTAAGTACTTGTGGATCAGCTTACCAAAGGCTTACCATCCAGTGCATTTAGAGAACACACAGTCAACGTGGGTTTATGAGAAAGCCTATGATTTCTGGATACTAAGGACCTAGTTGAGTATCTGTTTTAAAATAGAGATGTGCATTGTAGCTGTTAAATCCAATAGCAACTGACCGTGACGATGAGGCACGCTCTATGCACTGATCTGTGATAGAATGAAAAAAAAGAAAAAGGAAGTTAAGTTCTAGTCATAAGGTGAGATAAGGGGGGAGAATGTTAAGTTGATCTCTATGGCCAATTGGGCCCTTGATCCGTGCCCTGATCGGGGGCGCTCAGCCTTTCTACTGGCTGATGGGCCCCCGTCGCGCAGCGCCATAAAAGAATGGTGGGGGCTGAGACACAAGACACGAGGTACACCGTAGCCGACAGCGCTCCACCGGTTTTCTTATCCCTAAGCCGGTCTAGAGGACGCGCTGTAAGCGTCGGGAAGCACCATCGCCTTCACCGCCGCCACCAGACCGGGTCTACACTGCTGCTACTATCGTCGCCGGCTCCATGGCTGCGACTGAAGACTCGAGACTCCGAGTGTCGCTGCGACACCATGGCCACGACATCGGTCAGGCGAGGTACATAAGTTATGTTTTACCCACTAGATCTACACGTAGATAGTGCAAGATTTCCATCAATATCATGCAAGAAGATAGCCGGCCGGCCACGGTCCATGAGCCACAGAACTCCTTATTACTCTCCTGTCTCCTCTAGAGGTTCTGTCCTTTGTTTATGTTTTTTGCCACCCACAAAGTCGAAACCAAAAACACAATTTTATAACGAGGAACAAGAAAAGGGGACAAATTTAACTAAGCGATGATTTGATCCAATTTCAAAAGTCGACAGTATTAAATTGAGTAAATGGAACGGACAGAATGAATGGTTGAGGGTAGCAACAATTTGATCGGTATGATCATGATCCACAAAAAATATTTGAAAATGCAGGATAATTCCTTATTAGTTACTAGCGAGCGAAGATATGCGTGACCGGATGCATATAGATAGATTGTCGTATTATTGATGGATCGACGAGGGAGATCTCAATGGGTCTGAGTCTGAGGCGGCGGCTCGTCGTGGTGGTGGACACCATTGCCATCCTCCTCCTCCTTTGCTTTCTGCTGCTCCTGCTGTTTCTTCTTGAAAAGCTTGCTATCCAGGTGCTGCTTGAATGTGCGGGGCGTGAACCTCGCGGGCTGATCTGCCATGACGAGCTCCGGCAGCGGGCGCAGCACCACGGTGTCCGGTGGCGGCTCGGCGAAGACGACCCAGGAGATGCGCACGGCGTCCCGGTTGACGAGGCCGCGGTGGAGGACGCTGGTGTAGCGGCCGTTGCTGAGGATCTCTAGGGCGTCGCCCACGTGCACGATGATGGTGCCCGGCTCGTCGCGCGCCGTGACCCAGCGGCCTCCGTGGAGCACCTGCAGCCCCGGCACGCCGTTGTGGAGTATGAAGGAGAGGGCGCTGACGTCCGTGTGGGCCTCGACGCCGATGGCCAGCTCCGGCTGTGGGCACCTCGGGTAGTAGTTGATCTTGAACTGCAGGAGGAGGTCGAGGTCGTCCTGCTGCTGCTTCTGTTCATGTTCGTCTCCTGCCTCTGCCTGGGAGTGGGTGATGAGCGCCTTTTCTAGCGCGTCGCCGCGGTCTGGGCCGAGGAGCCCCATGGAGAGGATGGCGAGCAGCGTGGAGGTCAGCTCCCGTGTTCGGCGGCCGAAGTCGTGGGTGGCGGGGACGTAGTCGGGCGGGTGCGCGGGCCAGAGCGCGTGGTCGGCGAGCCCGTCGGGTTGCACCAGGTGGAAGAGGTAGTCCTCCCACTCGCGCTGCCCGGAGGCGTTGGTGGCGAGGCGGCTGCCGTAGCCCTGCAGGCGGCCGGCGGCGGGGTCGTTGGCGTAGGCCTCCTTGTCCTGGATGGGGAGGGCGAAGAAGGCGGCTCCGGCGGCGCGCAGGCGGTCCATGAGCTCGGCAGGGATGCCGTGGCCGGCGATGTGCATGACGCCCCAGTCGGCGGCGGCGGCGCGCACGGCCTCCACGCACGCGTCCCGCTGCTGCTGGCTGCTGGTGGCGCCCAGGAAGGGGGAGATGTCGACGACGGGGATCCGCGGCGCGGTGTGGTCGTTGGCATGGGTGCGCGCCAGGTGGAAGGCGTCCCCGAGGCCGGCTCGCTCGTCGGCGGGGCGGACGTACTCGAGCGGGATGGCGGAGAGGCCGCTCAGAGCCTCCACGCGCGCCGGCAGCTACAGCAGCGGCGACGGCAACGCCATCCAGTAGTAATTCACTATTGCCGACTTTGGAGATTGATGGATAGATGGATGATCGTCGATGCCCGGTGCCATGCATCTCTGCTTCTTGAGATTTTATAGATAGATAGACACACACTTGCTGTTCTTCTGTACTGTAATAGCTGCAATGCAGTGTGGTGCATCTCGTGCATGCTCTGCTTTCCTTGCATGCCCTGTTGTTGTTACCTGCAATTCTTCTGCAAACTAACTAACGACACTCTTGTCTTGACTGGTGGTTGCGATTGCGACGACGACAGGGTTTGGAGTGTTTGGTGTGCGGCACGCGCTGGTGCTGCACTCTCCGGCCCTGGCAACTGGATGGAGCCAGCTACCACCGGAACACGTGCCAATCCGACGGTCCGGCCGTCCGGGACGACCTGGCCCGTCACAGCCGCACGCCCGCACCGGCCACACTTGTACATGTTGTCAAACTTGCGTAGCCTTAGTCCGGGTGTGGTTGTCAACTAAATATCTACAAGAAGATTCAAATAACTCAAAACTAGGAACTATAACATAGAACAAAAAAATTTAGAGATTTTTTCAAACTGTTTTAATTTTTTTCTTAGGCAAAACAATTTTTTCATAAATTTTATAATACCCCCTCAGTCTCAGAAAAAATATGATCCTATGATTTAAAGCTTGTCCTAACATTAATGTAAACGTGGATTGAAGACCAGCTTTTTAGGTGAAACTCACCGATAAAAAAAAGCACCACATGCAATTGAAAAAATGCCACACCGTAAGAACATTCTAGTATGGGCGCTGCTAGCGCCCGATCGTTCGGATGGACACTGCGTCCGGACGCTCACAACTATTGCCCACCACGCATATGCATGCAGCTTCTGCCCGCCCACCCGCTCGCTGCCGTTGCCACGCCTGCCGCCCTGACCTCGCCTGCTGTTGTGGTATGGATGCGCATGCACATGGGGGCTGCCGCGTCTGCTTCGCTTCCCGCGCGCATGTGGGACCACCTCCACCTGCGCCTACTTCCCGCACCTGCTCATGTAACACTTTGCAACATGAAGAATTTGCTCCAACGTACATCTGAAACAGATAAAATATTTAGAATATACGCTTGCAACATATGTGTATGACCACTGCAACATATGCAATATCCAAATAAAACACTTGCAACATACGTTTAAAACAGCTAAAACATTTGAAACATACACTTGCAACATACATATATAGCCCATGCGACATATACAATATTCGGATAAACACACTTGCAATATATGTTTTAAACAGCTGAAACATTTAAAACATACACATGCAACCAGCATGTTCGCTGGTTGATTTCTGGGCTGATAAGTCCGGCTGGTACTGGTTTGTTGTGAGAGAAAAACATTGTATCATGGCTGATAAGCCCTGGCTGAAACCAACAAACGAACAGGCTGAACATACGTGGATAGCCATTGCAACAACACCATATTTACTTTTGCAACATACATCTGAAATATATAAAGCATACGGTTGCAACATGTGCTCATCTACTTGCTGCTATCCAATGAAGGCTCGTTAACGTTGAGCTCAACGTCGGCACGGAGTTCGATGACACGGAGTGGCGCGGAGGTGGTCACCCACGGGCCACAAACCTCGGAAGTGGCTGCGGCAGACGGATGGATCGTGGCCACGGTGGGAGGCGCGTGGTCCGGAAGGACGGACGCCCTGAGGGTATCACTGTCGTTCTAGTATGATTAATTGCTCTTGAGTTCTGACGCATGTTGAGAAAGATACAAGAAGGGCACATGTGTACTTTCACACTCTCACTAATCTAACTTAAAAAATGAGATTTACATGCTTTATGGTATGAAAGGAGTATTAAACTAGATTTTAGGATCAATCCGATCGGCTGCCTTTGTTCTAGCGGCCTAGCGGGCAGCAGCCAAGAAAAAGATAGCCGATTAGACTGTGCATAACTTTTTCAAGAAAAAATATTTGTATATTTTTTGAATTTTTTTTTGTTAAGTTCATTGACCGCTGAACTATTAACACGACCAAGTTTACCACCCACAAGGCTGACGTGGTGCTTCGTATAGGATGGCTGGAGTGGGCACCATGTACGCTAAACAACCATTTAGAAAGCTGTTTCTTTCGTGCGTGTTTAAAAAAAGGACTTCTTTCGTTAGCGAGCAACACACACAAATAGTGGAGAGGAAATTTTCTTTATAGGAGAAGGGAAACAAAAACAATATGTGGTAATAAAAACGAGATTTTTAACTCTTTGCCATCCTTAGGGATGACACTCCTTTGTTTGCCACCTTTACGCGTACTCCTACACAATTGCCATCGCAAACAGTAAACCGCCTGCATTTTTGCCATTTTCGCTGACGTGGCACGCCAGGTGGGCACGCCAACGTGGCGGCAATGAGCCCGAAGCCCTAACTTGGCACGGAAATGACCACGCTGCCCTCACCTCCTTCTTTTTGTCTCCACCAACCCCCGGTCAAACCCGAGTTCCTCCTCGCAATCGAGCCCGTCTCCCCCATTATCTTCTCTGGCGACGGCGACGGCGGCGGCGCCTCCCCTTCCCCTTCCTTGGACGCATGACGACCATACTAAGTACTGCCCGCACTCCCCTAAACCCTATTTCCCCAATTTCGTTCCCCAATCTCGTATGCTAAGGTTTCGATTTGATTCGGGTTCGATTTGATTGGTGGTTGATTTGATTGTAGTGATGTTGCGGTAGCCCTTGTTGTTCATACGCATGCGTTAAGATGAAGTGGACTGACTGCCCTCCTTAGTAAGTTCGATGTGCTATAGTTTATGAGATCCCATAGTGTTTTGGAGTTGGATGTCTCCTAACTCCTACATGTTTTGTTTATGTGTTTATGATTATGTCAGGATTGATCCTGACAATGCGTTTAGAATCATGTTAGCGTTGCTAAGTACACAACCAATGTTGATTATGGATCTGTCGAAATGGATGACCAGGACCATGATGTTTGGATTGATCTTACCCGTCACTGCTCTATGTCTAAGTTTGTGGATGAAATGGCTAGAAAGATCATTTGGGGTAGGGACCAGCAACTAATTCTTTGGGGGTCTGGACAAAGAAAGTAGGGCAGAATGGAAGGTTACTACTGATGAGCAGTTCAGAGAGATGATAAAGGCTAGATGGGATGAGAAGAAAATGGATGTGAGCTATGAAGTGCTTGACAAGGACAAGGTCTCATCCAGAAACAACAGAGATGCAGGAAAGGCAAATGTGCCAAATGAGCATAGTGTTCATGCCACATCTGGTGTAACAGTAGAGCACAGATGATGCTTGTAGCAATCCAGACCATATTAAATTAGATGATGTTGTTATTGATTGGTCAGTTTTCACAATAATACCTGAGGAAGACTTGGATGGGGATGCTACTGTGTTAGTGGATGAGGAACAAATCTATAAAGCCATGGGCTTCAAAGCTGCAGATGAGGGGATAGCAGGCGGTGATGGTCCAGAAGAGATTCCAGTGCTAGAGATTCCTCCTGAGTTGCAAGAAGAAATGGATGCAACAGCTATCCCTGTTGATGACAATGAAGCAACTGAGCCCTAGCTTGTTTTTCTATGATAGAGACAATCCTGACATGTCTGTAGGCACACTGTATCCATTAATGCCTCAATTTAGAGTGGCAGTTAAGCAACATACTATATACTCAATGAGTTTGAGTTGGGCACTGAGAAATCTGACAAGTCAAGGTTCAGGGGATATTGTAAATCACAAGGATGCAAATGGATTAGAGCTAGAACTCAGAGAGATAATAGTGTCAGGGTATATATTACTAACTATTTTTTGTAGAGCATGTCACTAGCAATTGTGCAGGAGTGTCGTCCGTAAGGATGACAAAAAGTTAAAAATCCTAATAAAAATAGAAGAGCCTAAAAATTCATAAAATTAGGGAAAAAACGGGTCAAGCAGGGGAAATAGAGCTCTAATTTTATTTCCCCCTTAATTAAAAGGGGTGGAGCTAGCTATTTAGTCGAAAAGAGATTATCAAAGGAGAGCTAGTAGGAAGTGGTTAGTCGAGCAAAAAGAATAAATATTTTTTATTAGCATACATATATACTCGTTGACATGTACATAACTTGATGGAATATATATTGTATTAGTATATACACCGCATCTCACAAGACACAAAACTAATTAAGGTACCTAGATCATAGTAGATGAAAATGAGATACATACATAATTGAATTATAGTATTGATTGCAATGACTGTAGATGTTAATCACCGATCGACTATCGTGATGTTCGCTTGGTTTATAAGCCGTACTTTTTCAGCCAACGAACAATATTTTTTTTCTCACAATAAATTAGCCAACGGTACTTTCAGTCATGGCTTATCAGCCAAACGAACAGTGCATATATACGGCCGCTATAGGCTAGGCTAGGTAGCTAGGACCGTATTAGGACTACTAGTGTCATTAGTCATGGATGACAACTTAACGGCCGTATGTACCATCATCATCATTATTGATGGATGAAGCTGAAGGTACGATGGATCTTCAGTTCACTGGACGTGGGTGGCGCACTGGGACGACTGGGAGGGGAAGGAGGACCCCTGCTCCTGCAGCTGTCCTGGTGGGAGTGGGATCGCCGGCGCTTGCAGCAGAACGGCGGCGATGCAGTCCACGGTGAGGCCGTGCGTGGCGGACACCTTCCAGCGGAGCAGCCCCTGGATGCGCACCCTGAGCAGCGCACGCTCAGGCGGCGACGACGGCGACCTCCAGCTCCCGCGGCGGAGTTGGACGTGAGCATGGCCGACAGAACCACGTCGCCCTCGGGCTGCTCTAAGGGCGTGGGCATCAGCGGCGCCGAGGGGCACGCCGGCGTAGGGGGCGGTGGCCTGGAGCTGGTCGTAGAGAGCGGTGGCGCGGGCGTTGGGGTTGTGGGCGGTGAGCGCGGCGTCGACGGTGATTATAGTAGCGGCGCCGGCAGAGGCGTTGGCTACCGTGGCGGTGGCGGCGAGCAGGGAGAAGCTGGGGCTGGAGGGGCGGAGGGTGAGCCACAGGATGAGGGCCAGCGACAGCAGCGACGCCACGGTGGAGCAGACGGCGATGAGAGCCCGACGACGTCGATTGCCGTGGTGATGGTGGTGGTGCTTGTGCGGACGGGAGGAGGACCTGGAGCAGTCCCTTGGGGAATCCTCAGGATCACCCGTGATCAGAGACATCTCCCTAGCTAGCTAGCTCCTTTACTTAGTTTGGCTGCTGCGCATGCGCATGATGCATCATATAATGCTCTGCTCTTGCAGCGGCTGGATGGTGATGGATGGGGCGATTCAGGACCAGGAGATGCTAAAAAATAAGGATAAAAATAAAGCTGTAAAAGTTGGCCGAGACGTGGATCGGAGATAAAAGAAGGATGAATGAATGAACGAACGACACTCTTGCATGGCGTAAAGCTGAAGCACAAGTCACAGGGCAGGCTCCATA